CCCCCCCATCCCCCGTCTCCCCGCTCTGGTATCTTATCGGTGTTTATATATCACCACACAAGTGTACGCACTTCTCACCGCAAATGTTTCATTCTTTCCTATCGTCTCTCTTCCCCTTGTTTGCGCCATACAGCGTCACAGGAGACGCCGCCGCTACATAATATTCATTATAACAACAATAAGAATAAAATTATCATTAAAAAAAAGCGGATTCCAGCGAGGAACTAAAACTAAACGAGGGAAAAACAAAGTCTCCGCGGACCGCCCCGGTCCTTTCCACCATCGCTCTTCTATGTCTCCATGAAGCAAATACCAAGAAAAAGAAAGAAGAGGAAAATATATCACGGAAACATTTAAGAACAGAATATAAAAGAGGATTTTAGGGCGAGTGCAGTAACGGAGGAGGAGGCCGTGTGAGGGGGAGGGGGAATGGCGTATAAGGCAAAGTGATCGATAGAAACCCGTTTCTGGGGTACAATCTGATCTGTAACCGCCGTCCCGGTCACTGAGGCTTATAACTGCCAGTGCCGGCGCACCCGGCGTAACCCGCTCTGGGTATAATTATCCGCGTCCCAGTACATAATGAAGTGCGCACAGAGGCGCGCGGAGAATAGTGAGATTTTGTGGCCTACTTAGCAGACACCTGGGGACACGTCTGTGCTGCACCAATCAATAGCGACACATGGCACCGGCTTCACTCCTCATTATCTACACACCGCCGCCACCTAGTGGATGAAAGGGGTACTACTACTACTACTGCTGCTGCTGGTCGCACGACTAGGGGGATTAAGACTAACACATTGTTACTGCATCAGATGACAGCTGATTGTTCCGGGTATAGATAGCGAGAATGAATCTCCTGTGTCCAATCCCAGCGGCTGGATGCCCGACCTGAGATCATATAACTGATAATTTCCTATTATTGAGCAAAAATGCTGAATATGTGTTTAAACTCGTGAGCCAATCCAATGTGACGTCTGCTCCAAACTAACTGAAAGATAAAATCCGGCTTGCACTATGGACAAAGCAGGACTATTAATCCGGTTTGGCAGTTCTTGTGGTTCACATGCCGAAGAGCCTGTATGGTGGACACCACTATCCAATATTGTAGTCCAGGCGGGGCCGGATTTACTCTCTCTGCTGCCCCAAGGACAGGTTCCGCAATGCACCCCCCTACCCCCCAATTCC